CGACACACACACACACACACACACACACACACACACACACACACACACACACACACACACACACACACACACACACAACACGACACGTAACACGACAACGTTTAAAAGTTAAGTTTTATTTAAAGCGTTCAAGCTTGAGAGGGGAGGGAGGTACCCGGATGCCGGCCTCCTTCTTCCTGGCCTCCGGCGTGGGTGTAACGAGGAGATCGGTGTCCACGTCGCCTTTACCGTCACTCTGCTCACGCGTCGACTCCCCTGTTTCAACCGCTCCACACGTGAGCACGGTGCGTGTGCGTGTGCGGTGTGTGCGTGTGGTGCGTGTGGTGCGTGGGTGTGTGCGTGGTGTGTGCGTGTTGCAACGGTTGCGGTTGGCGGCGGCGCTGGCGGCACCTGGTGGGAGGTCGCCTAGGGCAAGGGGCACGGGCTTGGTCCGGCCATCGAACTCGATGTAGTTGTGCGTCACTGTGGTCCAGTCACGCGTGAAGACGTCCAGCGCATCGGCAACGAACATCGGCGCGCCCCGAGCCTCCGCCTCCTTTGTTTCCCACCCGAGGCCTCATTAAATACTTGCGTCTCGCTTATTTTATTTTCTTCGGCTTATAAATAAATAAAGCGCCCAACTTATAATTTTACTTTACATTACAATACAATTATTTATATAAAAATAAATAACAATAGCATTAAATAAATTGCCTGCAAGGGCCAAAAATAAACATACAATACTAACTAATTATATGTTTTTTTTTAAAAAAAAAAGAAAGGGCGGTACGGAGGAGTCAAGGGCCGAGCGGACGGTGCGTCGGGCGCGCGGGGTGCGCTCGAGGGCGAGGTCGTCTCTGGGGAAGGTGAGGAGGACCTCGCCGCCGGCAGCGGCCTTGAGCAGGGCGGGCGCGCTCAGTCGCTCCTCGAGGTCGGCACAGCCGGGGCGCCCGCCCTCGCTCGCGTCTGCTGCAGCATTTCCCGACGAAGAGCCTAGGCTCGCGGGCGGCTTGGAAGATGAAGATGAAGATGATGAAGGAGAGTCCGGGGGTGACAAGGAGATGTTGGGGCGGTTGATTGTGGGGGAGCTCAGACCCGACGAGGGCAAGCGGCCCGGCTGCTGGTGGCGCTGGAAGGGTGTGGGACTCTCCAGCCCGCCACTGCTGCTGCCCAGAGGCAATCTTTCCTTGCCCTTCTGCTCCATCATCAGTTGGCGGCAACTGTGGGCGGTAGCTCGAGCCAACACGAAGACCAAACTGTTCGTGTTGCTTGGGGCGCCCTAGGAAATTAAAATTAAATTGACCGGTTAAAATTCCCGCTATTCAAATTTTCGGAATTGTCGAAACAGTTGGTGAAAGAGATATCCTCGGAAAATCAAAGAGAAATTGAAAAAAAAGAAAAGGATGAAGAAGGAGCACAGAGGGAAGAGGGGGGAGGACGGTGGTGCAGGTGTGCTGGCGGCTGGTGTGAGCTGCGTGGCGGCTGTGGGTGCCGACGCGTGCCTGCCATGGCTGGGCACGCTGCTGTGCGATGGGGCGACGTTGGAAGAAGCCACCCGACCCAACCTCCTCGTCTTCATCTGTGCACATCTTCTCCTTTCCCTCCCTCTCCTGCTCAAGCTTCGCATCGTACCCCCTCCCCCATTCTTTTTCTTTGCATTTCTATATTTAATTAAATAATTTATTTATTTGTTCTCAGCGACCAGCCACGGCGGCGCTTAGCGTGGTGGGCAGCAGTGGCCTGTTCTACGCCGTCGCCGTCCTGTTTGGTGCGCCGTTGCTCTCGTACGCCTCTCTTCCCTGATAAACGTGGCGTTCACCGCACATCATAGGTTCAACATGTGCTCAAGCGTATCTGTTATGTGTGTGCAGGAAGGGCGACCAAACCCTCTTGTGGGCGATACTGATGGCCGTACTGGCCGTGCTACCACTGGCCGCAGCGGGCTTCTCACTCGACTCACCCTTGGTCTGGCGTGGGTGTGTCCCGTGTGTCATGTGCCGTGAGTGCGTCTTGTGCGAGTGCGTGTGCCGTGCGTGTGTGTTGTGAGGTCTGCGTGTTTCATTGGTGCCGGCCCGCTCACTGGCGCGCACGTGAGTGGCTTTCATTCGTGCAGGTGGCTCCACAACGACCCAAGGGAGGTTGTGGCGGTGTTGGGGGCTCTTGGCGCTGTGCTCGGTGCATGGGTGGGAGCGTTTCCGTTCCTCTGGATTGGGACCGGCCCTGGCAACCCTTCCCAATCGCATCCACCTACGCCACCCTTTGGGGCCACGCCATCAGCCACGCGCTAGCCCTTATCTACCTCCTGCTTGCAACCCTTACCTCTCGCCTTCATGTTCACTGAGCTGCACTCTGTTCAATAGACCTATTTCTCTCTGAAACACAAACACTACCACCTGAGATCTTGTGCTGTAGAGCCATCCTGGCCCAACAGAGCTGGTTAGTTAGTAATCGGCTTCGTGATGGTAAACAGGTTCAGGTTGCATGTGAACTGTTGTGCTCAATTTGTGTTCGTTTGACTCTGAGGATTGTTTTTTTTCAGGTTTTCTGTTCTTTTTCCCACCAGCGCAAGCAACACTCACTGCAGCAAGAAGCAGGATGAAGAGGAAGGCAGCAGAGAGCGTTGATTCGGCCAGTACGGCGGAGGGAGAGTCCGCCACGCAAGTGGAGACCACCCCGGCCAAAGCTGCCGAACAATCAACCGAAGAAATCGCTCCGGAGGCGAATGGCGAGATGAAAGATGCAGGCTCCGCCCCTGCCGATGCCAAAACCGATGCATCGTCCGCCACGCCCACCACACCCAACAAGAAGAAGCGAAAGCGAGGCCGCAAACCGAAGCCGAAGCCGGTCGAACCTGAAAAATCGCAAAATCCCGAAGATGGTGATGACGAGGCGGCAAAGAAGCTGCGGGCCACGAGCGGAAGCAAGAGGAAGCGATTGGCCAAGAGGCGGAAGATGGAGGAGGAGCAGAAGAAGAAGGAAGAGGAGGAGCAGAAGGCAAAGATGGAGGCCGAGAAGGAGCAGGAGTTGAAAAAGAAGGCCGAGGAGGAGGCCCAGCAGCGGAAGGAGGCCAAGCAGCAGCGACGGGCCAAGTACCTGGTGCGCGAGGACACCGGACCCCGCAGCCGCAAGGTACATTTGATTTTTCTTTCATTCTTCTCAAATTACAACAAGATTTAGCTTGAGATTAATGCCAATAATAAATCCAATAACATTAGTATTTTTCTATGTGTTTGTATCGGTTGTGTATTATTAAATATATGACATATATTTGTATTGATACATCATTTATTCTTTTTTTATTTTTTTTAATTTGATTAAATACACTGCCCATCTAAAAACGCTTTGTGGCCAGATCTGCTACGGGTGCCGAAGGAGAGGGCACAGCCTCAAAGGTATGCGAGCTCGCACACCGCCGTGGCGGTCATGGTGGCAGCGAGCTGAGCTGAGCTGAGCTAACATTGTGGTCGTGCCGTGCTGCTCCGCGTTCGATAACGCAGATTGTCCGGATGCCGTGGCCGGTGCTGCGCCTCCGGCGGAGGATGAGGACGCGGGAGTGGAGGGGGTGGCACCCAAGGAGAAGGACGACGCCGGCCAGTACTGCTTCAACTGCGGCAAGACCGGCCACACGCTGTGGCACTGCCCCGAACCCAAGGAAAACGGTAATCAGCCGCTCCTGCTTTATTGTTGTTTTTTGTTATTATTTGTTCTTGCATTTTATCATCATTTATATTGCTATTTCTTTATTGTGGCTGCCCAGCCATCTTACCTTTTCTCCTTCCAGGCGGCTTCAAGTTTGCCAAGTGTTTCATCTGCAAGGAGCAGGGCCACCTCTCCGGCACCTGTACGTCTCACCGCACACGCACACGCACACGCACACGCACGACACGACTCGCAGGGCTAACCACGGCTTGGTTGATGGCGTGTGCGCAGGTCCGAAGAACCCAAAGGGCGTGTACGTCCACGGTGGATCGTGCAAGTACTGCGAGTCGGTGAACCACCTGCAGAAGGACTGCCCGCAGCACCCCAAGATCAAGAGGCGCGAGTGGCAGGAGCAGCAGCGGCGCGAGGCCGACGCCGCCGCCGGACCCTACGGCGAGCTCGATCCCGAGGGCTTCGGCTCCCAGCCCGCCAAGCGCAACAACTACGATTCTGGCGGCGGCTATGGCGGCGGCGGCGGCGGCGGCGGTGGCTATGGCGGCAACCGAGGCTACGGTGGCGGGGCCGGCGGTGGCTACGGCGGCAACCGGGGCTATGGCGGCGGCGGCGGCTACGGCGGCAACCGGGGCTATGGCGGCGGCGGTGGAGGCTATGGGGGTGGTGGCGGTGGAGGCTATGGTGGGAACAGGGGCTACGGCGGCAGAGGCGGTTCGTCCTACGGGGGCCGAGGAGGTCGAGGCGGTCGCGGAGGCGGCGGATATGGCCGAGGCGGCAGCCGGCGAGTCGACTTTTGAAGAGTCATCCGTGTGGCGTGGCCCCAATACACACCAATTTTTTCCAGCCCTGTGCGCACGACACGACACACAACCAAATGACACGACACGACACACGAATCATAGAAAACGATTTCTATGATGCAGAGAGTAGAGTATCAATGTTGATCGGGCACATTGCGCCGTGACGATCAGATCGATCCGAAGATGCCGCTGCCGCGGAGGAGAAGGGCAAAGATGCCGAAGAGGGCGTACTTCCACAGGTACTTGAAGCGGAAGAGCACCGCGTAGATGCCGTACACGATGCAGATGTGGAGATACCACCCGAACGTGATGAAGAGCGAGATAACGAACAGGAGCGCCGCCGCGGCCAGGTTGTCCGTCAGGGTATACTGCTCGGTGGGCCTCGTCGGCCTGGCGCCGTCCGCGTGCCAGCGGAAGCCGAAGCTGGTGGCCTGCTCCTGGAAGTTGTACCACGCTCGCCTCTGCGGGTCCTTCAACGTTTCAAAAGCTGTCGTAAAACAACACACGACACCACAACAACACGACACACAGGCACACACGACACACGACACACGACACACAACACAGTTGGGTAAGACGAAAAGCCGCCCAGGTAACATTCTACGCGCACCTTCGACGACGCGCAGGAAGCGGACTTGAGCGGCGGCCCGCTCGGCGGGTCCGGCCTGCTTGGGGAGCTTGTCGGGGTGGAGTTCGAGGGTGAGGGTGCGGAAGGCCCGCTTCAGCTCGGGCAAGGTGGCGTCGGTGCCCACGCCGAGCACCTCGTAGTGAGTCTTCCCGGCCAGCTCGGCCTGGGCGGCTGTCGTCGCCTCCTCTTCGGTCAGCGATGATGACGCGGCACCAGCAGAACAGCAGCAGAGCAGCACGACCACTGCGGCGAGCACCCACCCCCGTGTTGGCGCCATCAGATCAAAAAAAATAGAAAAGAAAATATATGGCTGAAGAGAAAAAAAGAGAAAAAGAGAACAGGAAAAGGATTGGATTAGTTGTGCATCCAGATTCGTGAGAAGAAGCAAGAAGAGAAGATGTCGAATCAGGGCAACATGCAGTGCCACAGGTGTGGCAAGATGGGCCACACGGCAAAGAATTGCTCGCGGCCCCCGGATTGCTTCCGATGTGGCCAGTCGCACTACGCCCGCGATTGTCCATCGGCCCCCCGGCCAGCTTGCTACAAATGCGGACGCACAACCCACATGGCGCGCGATTGCCCCACGGGCGTCAACTGCTACAAGTGTCAGAAGATGGGCCATTTCGCCAAGGATTGCACAGCCGACAACCTCAGAAGTCGACGTACGATGCAATTCCATCCTTCCTCATCGCTCACATTTATTCATCATCATCATTATTATTAATCAATTTTTTGCTTATTATTCATTTTTTTATTGGACTTTTTGTGGTAACAGGAAGACCGGTGGTGCCCGAGATAACGGCGAGCCAGCTGCCGCCCGTGATCTGCTCCCACTGCAAACGGAGAGGCCACGTCGCCGCCCAGTGCACAGCCGGCGAGGTCCAAGAGTTCGACGACTTCAAGGGTAACCCTTCGCCCTTCCCCTTTCATGTCCCTGCTGTGTGCGGTGGTGCGTGTGCGTGTGCGTGTGCGTGTTCGAGGCTCACGAGGTGCTTCTCTCCTTGTGGCGCAGACTCGCTCGTGATGCCAGATCTGCTGGGCCAGACCAAGCGAAAGAAAGTCGCGGAGCCCACCGAGGAGAAGCTGGAGCTCGAGAAGGCGCAGAACAAGAAGAGGAAGGTGGTGACGACGCAGATCCTCATCATCCCCAAGAACAAGAAAGGAGGCGAGGCCGCAGGTTCGCCTGCATCGCTGGAGGGCGTCGTCACGACCAAGCAGCAGCACGAAGAAGAACGAAAACGAAAAGCGGAGGAGGTCGACAATGGAAACGCGAAAGCGAAGGACGAGGGGGAAGACGAAAGTGGAGGAGGAGGTGGAGGGCTCTTTTCCCTCATGGCCGACTACGGCGACAGCGAGGAGGACGAGGACGATGGCGACGGCGATGGCGAAGGGAGTGGAGGAGCAAACAAACAACAGGAGGAGGAAGTACCAACTTCAGTAGTGGCGGCCAGCGAAGGAACAACACGAGAAGAGGACGGGGAAGAAGAGGAGGATGGGGAAGAAGAGGAAGACAGGGAAGAAGACACCAAAGTGGCCGCTGCTGGGGAAAAGTGTTTGGCTCAATGATATGATCTGTCGTGTCTGCCGCAGGCCAGCAAATAAATATTAAATATTCAAACTAAACAAAGGAAGCTCATGAGCGCGTGGTGACGGTGTGCGATGAAGATGAAGGTGAGCAAGCAAAAAAGGATACGGCACGGTGGATTCCCGGGTGGTCGCCCACCCCAGTACTAACACCGCCTGGCGCAGCTTAACTTCGCTGTTCGGATGGGAAGCGGTGCTTTCTGCGCAGTATGGCCGTATCCAACATCTCATGATCCATGTGCACATCACAGCCTCTTCCTCCCCCCCGCCAACCTCTGTTGCATCGGCAATATTGTGGACCCTTCGTCCACTGCTCACCCGCCGAGCTGCCGCGTCCTGACCTGGCTTGAGAACAAAGAACGTTCAAAGCGAAGAGGGCGCGGCAAATGCGAAGCGGCACAAGAAAGGTGACGTAACCAAGCCACCGAAGGGCGACAACAACGGCCGAGGCCGCGCAACCGGACTTTGGATACCGGCCGGCTTTTAAAAGCCGTTCGCTGTTGCCGGCCAGACCATTCAAACTCGAACCGCAGCCGGAGCAGGAGCAAGCACACCCCACCTGGCCTGTCCGCCCACACGAGCACGTCCAAGTCTTCCACCCCAACTCAACAAACATGAACGGAAACGCCAAGTGTGCTATCTGCGCCAAGACCGTCTACGCTATGGAGCGCATGGACGCCGACGGCATGTCGTTCCACAAGGTACCTTACTTCCGGCCCATCTTCGACACACGAACAAGGCATTTCCTTCGTCGATCTTAAACAAGAAGAACAACTACAACGAGATGGAAGCTGACACACTCCTTTCATCGCCAACAGACGTGCATGAAGTGCGAGGAGTGTAACTGCACCCTCAAGCTGGGCAACTACGCCTCGCTCGCCGGCAAGTACTACTGCAAGACTCACTTCAAGCAGCTGTTCAAGCTGAAGGGTACACTACTCCTCCTTCTTCCCATCAACCGCGTTTCGTCGTCCCTCTTGTTGGCTTCATTCTTTTTAGCTCCGGCGGCCGATCGGCGCCTGTGTCGTTGTCAGGGACAGCCTGCCTCGTTACATTTCGCGTCAGTATTCGTTCAATATTATTTCAATATTTATTTATGTATTAATATTTTATTTAGTAGTATTTGTAAATAGAGCTAACACAGTAATGCTGACAAATCGCCGTTGTTGGGTCGCACAGGTAACTACGACCAGGGCTTCGGTCGCGAGCAGCCCAAGATGAAGTGGCAGAAGGAGGGTGGCCTGGGCTTCGGCTCCGGCAGCCAGAGCATGCGCCAGACCTCGTCGGCGCCCGTCTCCCCGGTCTCGTCGCCCGTGTTCCCGCGCCGCACCGTGGCCGAGACCAACGCGCCCTCGCCGCTGGCCCAGAAGCTCGCCGACTCCAAGGCCGCCGCGGAAGCGGCCGCGACCGAGGCCGAGGCCAACGGTGGCGCGTCGCCGGCCGAGGCCGAGCACGCCCAGGCCGAGGATGCGGGCCGACGGCAGTTCGCGGAGGACCTGGCTGCGTTCGAGGCCGAGCGCCGCCGGTTCGAGCAGGAGAAGGAGGAGTTCGAGGAGGCGCGCAGGCAGTTCGAGGCCGAGAAGGAGCTGCTCGACCAGTCGGTGGCCCAGCTCGAGGCCGAGAAGAAGTTCCTCGAGAACGAGAAGCTCAGGGTCGAGCAGCCCACCGCCTAAGCCACTACTCGCCACCACCACCTTCTTCTTCTGCACTACTCTTCATCTCCTCACCATCAACTACTACTTGTACTTTAGTCGGTCCTTTAGCCTCACGTGTTCGCCCAGAGGTGGCGGCGCGTAGAGAGACAATGAACGCCTGTTTTGCTATTCACAAGAGTCTTCACCATCCTGAACGAGGCGAGCTGGCCTCTACTCTATCGAGGGTGGCGGCGCACGCACGAGCTGCAGCATGGCTTCTTCATCTACTCGGTGGCGAAACACCTCCGTCCCTGCTTGTATTGCGTTGTCAGTCGTTTCGTTCAACTGGGGTTGAGGGTATACATGTAGGGCGTTTTCGAACCGTTGAGGTGTACGACGGGGATGTGGAAGCAGTAGCGGTGCATTGTCTCCTCATCGCACTTGAGGATGTCCACCTCCTTCAGCTCAAACGGCACCTGCGCCCGCCACAACAGCACCATCATCAGCTCAACCGCCACCAGTAAGCAGCTGCAAGGTGGTGTTAAGGGGGGGGGGCGAGTGCCTGAGTCCTGACGCGCTCGAGCACGGCTTTGGCCTTGTGGCACAGCGGGCAGTCGTGCTTGGTGTAGAGGGTGACCTCGTGCAGGTGCTGCGGCGACGTGGCTCGGAGGCCTCGGCTGCACTGCAGTGTTGACGGGCGGCACGACATCAGCGGATGCCATGGCCCCCACGGGCGCAGGGGCAAGGCCGACCTTGTTCGTGTGGCGAGCATCATGATGTCTATTGATCTTCCACTTTCCCTTTTCTTTTCTTTACTTCTTGGTCTTTTTGGTTGGCAATCTCAACGACAGATTGCACAAGAAGATTGGCGAGAATGGAGGCATCCAACCCTGGTGAAGGGTCCTGGATTGCACGCGGCATTTGCTTGGCCCCAGTAATCTTGACTGTGGTCTACGCCCACAGAAGGACACTCGCCAGGCTCTGGAATGGTCCGGAGGAGAGGGATGAGAAGGGACGAGTGATTGCACCAGCGACAGCAGTTGCGCCACCGTCGGCAGCGGCGCTTCCATCTCCTTCGCCACCCCGTCCTCGTGCTGCGTCGCCTTCAAGCGCTCGATTTGTGGAGGACAAGGAACGCGATGAAGATGAAGCGCAAGCCGAGTTGTACATAATCCAACGCACGATCGTTCGACTGGCGCGAACTGGCGATGTAGACGGTCTAATCGCCCTCCTCGAGTCAATCGAAGAAGAGGAGCAGAATAGAGCAGGGCACAGCGATACACAAGCCTGGAAGGAAGGCCAGTCGTCATCCACCGGCCCCACTACGCCGCACGACCATCTTCTCAACTTCATCTTTGATCTTCCTACACGGCCAACCGCGCATCGTCGAACCCACACCGAACGTAGAGCGAGGCGTCGAGTCCAAACCTCGACGAGCGAGGCCGAGGCTGAAGCCGAGGAGGAGCTCGAGCCCTGCGAAGACGAACGGCACGGTGCCGAGGCGGGCTGCACGCCGCTGTTCGTGGCTGCTCTGAACGGTCGTGCGCAGATGGTGCAGCTGCTGCTCGAGCGCGGCGCCAGGCCCGGCCTTCGATCGACGCGCGGCGGCGTGCATCCCCTCTATGCTGCATGTCTCGAGGGCCACGCCGACGTCGTGCGGGTCCTGCTGTCGAGCGGCGGCGATGCGGCTGTTGACGTCAACGAGATCGGCGTCGAGGCCGACGGCAGCACGGCGCTGATGGGCTGCTGCGAGGGCGGACACACAGCGCTCGCTCGGCTGCTGCTCAACCGCGGGGCCGATGTGGGGGCGCGCGGGCGGAGCGGCGCAACGGCCCTGTTCTACGCCACCCAGCAAGGACACGACCACCTCGTTCGACTGCTGGCTTCGCACCACCGATGCGACGTCAACGCTCGCAAGAACGACGGATCGACCGCCCTCTTCCTGGGTATATCATCACACTCATCATCTTCACGTTCTTGGTGGGCTTCTGGCGTTCTTATCCGATCATTGTGGCGTTGGCAGCGGTTGTGAGCGGACGGGCGGACATTGTGCGGATCCTGCTGGCTGCCGGCGCGGACCCGAGCGTGCGAGCGAAGAACGGCGATACGCCGCTCGACATCGCCACGAAGCTGCGATCTTGCTTCCCCGCTGTCTACGATGCGCTGATGGACCACAAAGAAGGCACTGGGTGCGTGCCAATCGGTTCATCATCCACATCAAGGAGCTAATGACACCGCGATCGTGAGCAAGGGCCGCGTTTTGAATAAAGGAAACAGAAAAGAAATGATTTTCCTTACTATGGTTGGTGGTGCGTGGAGAGCGAGGAAAGCTGGCCGGTACTTCCCTCAAGCTCTACACCCATGTTACGCGATCGATGAATCGGCCCGAAGGGGTGCGCTTGCCCCGGGAAGGGCAAAGGAGCCACCACTACTTGCACATCCTTGCACCAGCACAACTGATAATCATTCACAAGCTTCATCTCCTACGCGACTAGAAAACCATGCAAAAAGCGTTCGATAGACTCAACAGCATGGCCAACAGGGTGTCAGGCGACCACACGCGCAAATCAATGGCTCTTCAAGCAATCTTAGTCCTCCTCGTTGTACGTACCCCTAACCCTCCCAGCTCAACTACGTGCTGAGTTTCCTATCTTCGGCACTTCTTCGCAGGTCCTGCGCGTCGCCTATGCACTGTGGGCAGTTGTGCATCTCTCCTTTACGTCGCTCATGTGGTCATTGATCGTGCTGAGCGTTCTGTTCCTGGGCTTCACCGCAACCCGCAACCGCCAGAGATTCCTTCTTCTCATCGTACGTTGCTTCTTCTCTCTCCTCTCCCCCTTCGCTTGAAGCCTGGCACGTAGTGCTGATGTCTCTTTTTCTGCGCGCCTACCAGTACATTGCTGCCATGTGCGTCGTGATGGCCCTCACCGCGCTCGGTCTCTTCCTTGTACTTCTCGGCGAGGTGCTCACGCTGTCCGTGGACCTGGTCGAAATCATCGTCGACGGCTGCTCCCTTCTGTTCGAGGTACACGCCACAGGCCTCGTGCTGGGCTCAGGCTCCTCTTGGGCTGTGGGCGACTTTCAAACACAGCCGTGCAGCTTTCTGAGTTGGTCTCTGTCAACTGACACCAACCTCTGCAGTTGGTCACCATCGCGCTGGCGTACAACCTGTACCTTCACCTGGACCCGCGCAACAACGGTACACAGTCGCAATCCAAGCTCTTCGTTCTTCGTACTTCTCACGCTTTCGTTTTTCGTTTCTCTCTCTCTCTCTGGCATTCAGTCACGTTGGACGAGCTGGGCACCGAAGCCAGCCAGGCCTACCCGAACGACCACTCCATCAACATCGACCTGCAGCAGGTTTACGACCTTCCCCCCCATTGAGCTACGCGTCGTGCTGGCCAACTACTAACCTCTTCACTCTCTTTCTGTCTCTGCAGGAGTTCGAACAGGGCAACATGGACAAGCTGGCCCAGGAGCCCAGCCCCTACGCCTTCAACGCGCAGGTAAGTTGTCTCACCCAAGACGCATTGCCGTGGGATTTCTCTGCTCGATCAGCGCTTGGCCACTAACAAACCGCGCTTCCCTCCACCTCTTCAAGTTTGCTCCGATGCCGATGCAGGTGCAGCCGAACATTGTGTACAGCCCGTACGTCTACCCGGTGGTGGGTGTCGACCCGAACCTCTCGCAGGCCGAGACCATGCCCCACGCCGACGTCAACCCCTTCCAGGAGCCGCCCAAATAGGGACAGCCCCCGCCCCGATTCTCGCCCCTCGTAGGTGTACAGCGGCCAACAATATTTGTTTGGCCTTCCTTCGCGAGGCAACAACCACACTTGTTCATCTTCTTGGCCGTATCGGTCTTGATCAGCTGCTGATGTGGTCGTCGTGGTCGCCGCCGAACATCTTCTTCATCACCCGCCGGCTGCCCGCACGTAGCAGCGATTTCTTCTTCTTCTTCGGTTTCGTCTTCGTCTCCTCGTTCGACTCCTCACTCCCTCGGTCCTTCTTCTCTTTCTTCGTCTTGGCCGTCTTCGTCTTCTTCTTCGTCTTCGTCTTTTCGCTGTTGTCGTCCCCCTTCTTCCGATGTTTCTTCGTCGTCGTCGTCGTCTTGTCAGCAGCGCTCACGAGCTGCGGCGTAGAACGCGAGACCGCCGCCAGCTGCTGGAGTTGCGTGCTCGCCGGCTCGCCCGTCGTCGGAGCCGTGGTCGCGGCGGCCGGGACACCGGCGTAGGTGCTGGGCGTGGCCAGCGAGGGCCTTGTGGGGCTCTCCTGGGCCTTGTTCGACTTCGCTTGTCTGCCGGCACCCGGCTCATGCTCTGCGAGTACGCCGCCGCCTTCGTCTTCGTCTTCTTTCTTTGTGTTGACTTGCCCTCCTCCCCTTCCTTCTTCTCCTTGCGCGCTCGTCGTCGTTCCTCCCGCTCGCGCTCCTTGTCTCGCCTGCATTCCTCGAATGCTGCCAACTCATCGACCGCCCTCGCTCTCGTCGTCGATGATTGCAACTCGGCCGTCGTCTCCATCGTCTTCTTCGCTTTCTTCTCGCTCTTCTTCACCTTCTTCGTTCTTGTGGTCGTGTCGACAGACGAGGCCGAGCGGGTGGCCAGCGTGGCCGACAGGCGGCGCGGGGTGAGGTGGTACAAATCCGCCAGCTCGCGCGCCCTCTTACTCTCCTCGGCCCGCGCCGCCTCCTCCAGCTCGCGCTCCTCGAGCCACTGCGCCTTCAACGCTCGAATCGCCGCCTCCTCTTCGTCATTCGTTCTTGTCGTCGTCTCTTTCGTTTTTTCCGTCGTCTTCGCTTTGATCGCCGTCTTCGCTTTCGGCCGCTTGGCCAGGAGCTCGGGAGCGCTCGGGGGCTTTCGCTCGCTGACGGCCTTCCGCTCCGTGGGTGCTTTGGATGCATGGGAACGCTCGCTCCACACGACGTCGACCAACGACCGCGGAGGCCCGTCGGGCGCGACCAGCGATCGCGACGACATCAGGGGCATCGGTGATACGAGTTCCTCGTCTTCTTCGCTCTCGTCGTCTTCTTCGCTTTCGTTCTTCTCCCCGCGGCTCGCCTTGGGCTGGTCCAGTTCGGAGTACTTGGTGACGATGAAGGCCAGTAGCTCCTGCGCGTCGATCGTGAACTCGTCTTCCTTATTGGCGTGCTCCGCGTCTTTCTCGCTCTCGTCGTCGGCGTCGAGGCGGGATAGGTGCCACCGATCGTCGTTGCTCTCCTTGGCCTGCGTCTCCATCGTTGTACACTGCATCACCACAGACTTCTCCGTCTCTTCGTATGTCGTTACCGCTTCGTTCTTTCGCGCTTGGTTCGCCTCTCTCGCGGCTTCAGATCCGTCGGCCTCGTCGTTTTCGTTCTTTTGTCCCGCACCATCGACCGCCGCCTCTCCGTTTTCGCTCTTCTCCGCCTCTTCTTCCTCCTCTTCTTCTTCGTGCTGCGGCTGGTCCCCTCTGAGGCCCAGCAGAAGCTTCGACCGCTCCTCCTTCTCCTCCTTCTCCTCCTCGGCGTCGAGGCTCTCCTGCCGTCTGCCGACGCCTTCCTCGACCTCGTCGTCTTCGTCATCGCTCGGTGGCGACAACACTCCTTCTTCATCCTCCTCATCCTCACCCTCTTCCTCTTCATCGTCCTCTTCCCCCATCACGACCGTTGTGCTCGCCTCGTCATTGTTCTCTCTTCCTCGCCCACTCCTCGCCTCTTCCCCGGCCCCCTCGCCTTCTTCCGTCTCCGCTGTCTCAGACGTCAGCTCCTCGGCCTTGGGCTCAGCCTCGGGCTCGGACTCGTCTTGCCCGGTCCGCTCGCTCGGCTCTTGTGTCGAAGCTTCTCCATCAGCGCCGTCCTCCTCTTCGATGTGTCGCGCCAGCAGCTCCGGCGGCGGCGCCAGTGCTTCGCCGGGCTCGGTCTCGTCGTCCTTTTTTGCCGTTGTCGTCGTCGTCTGGTCGATCGCCTCCGCGCTGGGCGGCTGGGGCTCTTTCTCGTGGGCCTGCATCGTCATCGCGGCCGTCGGGTCGCTGACACCATCGTCTTGTCTGGGCTGGACAGTCTCGGCCGCCGGCTCGGCCTCGGCGCTCGTCAATGAAGCGGCCTCCTGCTCCGCGAGACAGACCCTGGCGCTTGCCTTCTGGCCCTCGGCCTCTGGCTCCTCGGCGGCTCCTTGGGTGGGCTCGTCATGGAGCGTGGTCGCTGCCGGGTGCTCCTCCGCTGGTCTGCCAGTGGTCTTCTCGTTCTCGCTCGGTTCGTCGTCGGCCTTCCCCTCGCCGTCGCCATCCGCATCGTCTTCGCAGCCTGCCGTATCGCTTTCGTTCTTCTTCGCTTCGTGCTCCCCCTTCCTCTGTATGCCAGGAGAGTGAGATTAAATCTGATGCTATATAATATTTATTTAATATTTAAGAACACTATGGGAATAGAACATAGATAAATAGGATAAATAAATATATAAACGAATAAACAAATAATAATGATGATCAAGTAATACACAAGGGGTACCTCGGCAGCGGCGAGGACATGGTCGTAGATGGCGACGAGGAGGGCCTCGCGGTGCGCGACGGCGCGTTGGGCGAGGCGCAGGCGCTGCCTCAACTCCGCCACACGACCGACGGCGTGCAGGAGGGCCATCCGCCGTGCAGCCACCTCGCGTTCGACCTCGCGAGCCTGCAGCTCGACCGCCCGCGCTTCCTCCAGCGCGCGGACCAGCTCGTCGTTGTCGTCTTCATCAACTTTGGCCTTTTCGGCCACGACCGGCTCCATCTTGTTGAGCACGAGGTAGTCCATGTTCGACTTGACCTTGGCGGCGTCGTCCACCTGAGTGACGCCGTCCATGCCACTCCGTCGTACGCCTGTGTTCGCTCCGCTTTCGTTCTTTTCGTTTGTATTTTCTTTTATGTGTCTTAATTACAGCGCCGCACGATGATTGGGCTCTTTGTTGGTGAGCCGTTCCCCCGCCCACATAGTTTGCCCCGCGGTGTGGTATGGTACTGTCCTGTGCAGGGGACTCTATCGTGGTCCCAAACTCGTTACCAGTTTGAGGCCACCCTGCAACCCTCCGGCCAGCCGCATGTTGCCCCTCGCTCGGACGACGTGGCACCATCTAAGGTGATGGGATCGAAGGAGAATGCAGGCAGGCCCGGGCCGAACACCGTCAAGAAGGAGGAGTAGAGTTGCGAGAGGCGCCGACAGTTTCTGTCGACCACATTGCATTTTGGCGCGAAGTGCCGAACGGCAACAAGTGTTTTTTCTTTCTGGCATCTTTTTGAGGGCACTCGATTTTTGTTTCATTCTCTGCCGGCCGGAATGGAGACCTCGCCCGTTCGAGGGGGTGGTACCAGGGCGTCACCTGCTACGTCGCCCAACGGCAAGCTCGCCCCCTTTGCAGCAGGTATGCTCATTCGAGCTAATTTGGACCATCCAATCAGGTTTTTTTAATTTTTTCTGAATAACATAATGTTTTCTAACATTTAGGGAATATTATTTGTAAATTTTAATTTGTCAAACTTAATTCTATAATGTCTCTGTGCACAGAGTCCAGCCCTCGCCGTAGCAAAAGGCAACGGGCCAAGAAGGGCGCCGATGACAAAGGCATGAAGCAGCTCGACCTGCGGCAAATGCAGCACCGCTCTCCCACCAAGGCCACTCGTGCCGCTGCCGCCGTTGGCAGCGCCGCTGGCTGCGCCGAGCAGAAGCCGATCGTGATCCGGGACGACGTCGATCCGAAGGCCACCACGATCGCACCGAACATCACCACCAACTCCATCACAGCCAAGAAAAAGACGCTCAGGGCAGCGAGGAAGAAGACCGGCGGTGACGATGAGGCCGTGCCGGCATGCGCCAGCAGCGCCAGTGACCAAGTCGGCACTGCAGTTGGAGGCGATGGCGATGGCGGCGCCGTGGAGGCGCCGTCTGGCACGCTCGGCGAAGAGAAGGAAAACCTGAGGCAGACGCCACAGACCACTGCAGCTGCCGGCGCCACAGCGGTGGCGGGCATGGCGGGATGGATCATGCGGCCCGGTGCGCGCAAGGCTGCAGCGGCCGAAGCACCAAAGGCCAAGGCCCCTAGGAAGACGCGCGCCAGACCAGCGAGGGACGCGGCCAAGGGTGAAGTCGCTGCCGCGGCGGCCCAGCCTGCGCAGCCGCCCGCGACCGTGGCCGACGGTGCCGCGGCTGTAGATCTCAACAACGCCGGTCCTGGTACCGCGCCGGTGCCAAAGAAGCAGCGGAGCCGGCGCAACGTTAAAAGGCGGACGCGAGCGAGTCGGTCCTGGCCCCGAGCCAAGCCACGTCAGCAACGGCCGAATCCACGTCATCCTTGTCTAGCCCCACCGCCGAGCAGCCGCCAGAGGAGACCGCCACCAGCGCCAGCACTGGTGGTGAGACTCCAAACGCGCGTGGCCGTGGTCGAGGCAAAGCCCGGCAGCCGCGCAGGGCCAAGGCGACGCGCAGCGACAACGCGGAGGAGGAGACGAGCAGCGACCTCACCACGCCCACGTCGAGCCAGGACGACGAGCAGCAGTCATCGCCGTCGCAGCGCCGCAGCGGGCGACTGCAGATCAAGCGCGGCGCTGCGCTCGACAAAATCCGGGAGCAGGAGACGCTGCTCCGCACCGCGGCCCTCGAGCAGCAGCAGCAGCAGCAGCAGCAGCAGCAGCTCCGGGACGCCGAACAGAGCCCGGCGCGCGGCGGCGGGAGCGGGTCGGAGGGCTCCGAGGGCCACAGCTCGCCGGGCGAGCAGGGCTGGATGTGGAAATCCAGCGCCGCCGCCGGGCGGACGAGGACCAAGCGCGGCGGCAGCGGCAGCGGCAGCAAGGCGGAGGGCGAGGAGGTGAGGCTGGCCTCGGTCAAGCCCAGGAGGCGATTGCCCATCGCGGCGTTGCCTTTCACCACCGATCTCCCTGGTACCGCACACGACCAACGACACGACACTCACTTACACATGGCACACGTGCAAGACACGAGCTAATGCGACGACGCGCAACAGAGGCGTCAGCGGGACAAGAGAAGCTGATGTTGCGGCTGAAAGTTCCGCCCAGCCTGCAGTTGGAGATGCGATCTCTCGGCGAGAGCAAGACACAGTGCGTGTGTCGTGCCGTGTGTTGTGTGCGGTGTGCTGTAGCGTGTGTTATGTCGTCTGTATGTGGCGTGTAGCATAAAATTAACTTACACTCGTTTTCTCTAAAGGTCGGCTCCTGCGTCGCCAGCGGGCGGTAGTCGGTTGCGAGCGACGAAACGGAGCAAACGAAAGCGAGCGGGAGGCAGCGACGACTCAGGCGGGGAGGACGGCAGCTATAGCGCCAACGAGGCCACCCGGTCGACAGCATCGGGCAACGACAACGAACCGCGCCGCAAGCGACGACGAAAAGTAGACGCTGAGAAGGACCTGCCGCAACCTACTTCCACCGGCTCCAAGCCACGAGGGCGCAAGAAAGCGAAAGACGAAGGTGCTTTTTTCATTCTTTGTTCTTTCGCTTTCGTTCTTTGTTGTTTGGGCAGAACGTGGGCTATATGTCACTCACTCGAGTGCTGGGGCTTGAACGACGCAGTGTCGGAGGTCGAACCGCAGCCGGTGGTGGGCGGCGAGGAGTTCTTCATGACCAAGGAGCAGCGCGAGGCCCATCGCCAGGCCAGGATGAAGGAAAAGCTCAAAAAGCGAGTGCGTCACCACAGCAGGCGTGTCGTGTTGTTGGCCGTGTCGTTGGCCGTGTCGTTGGTCGTGTCGTGTCGTGTCGTGTCGGTTTTGGCTGACCTCGGCCATTACAAACCAGACGGAGGAGTCGAAGAAAGTGGACCTCAAACTGACGCATGGCAAAGAGGCCCACCCGTTTCTCATGCCACGCAAGGCGCCCGCCTCCGCATCGTCGTCCAGCGGCACGACCTCTTCTTCAGCATCGTCAACATCGTCGCTCTCTACATCGTCAATGAACCTCAGCCTCAGCCTGTCGTCATCCGTCGCCTTCCTGCCGCTGCCGCCGCCCGTGCCGAGCCACGTGGCCCAGCTGACCGCGCGCGAGGAGGCTTTTCTCGCCTCCTTCGGCCCTGCCACGTCATCACTCCTCCCGCCCGTCGATGTGCATTCCACGCATTCTGACGCGCCCGCTGGTTCGCTGTTCGAAGGAATGCGAGGTATGGACCAGCTCCGCGCGCGGATGATCCGTGCCGCTGAGGAGCAAGAACGAAAAGCGACGACGTGCGCCTGGCAAGCACCGGCAGTCTCGAGACGGAGCCCTGCGTCGATGACGCGGCGATGGTCGTTCAAGTGCTGGATGCCATCCACGCGCTCTTCCCCTCGACAACGACCACCGACCACGGCCACGAGCGCGCGGTCGAGGCTCAGCACCTCCTCGCGGCCTACCGGTGGAAGCACGACAACGCCAGCGGCAGTGCCGGCGGTACCGGCGGGATGACGTCATCGAGCGAGAGCGCGGCGGCGTGTCGGCAGCTGTGGACGGAGAAGTACCGGCCCAGGTGCGCGCGCGATGTGATCGACCACGGGCCGGGCATGGCTACGCTGGCCGGGTGGCTGGCCCGCTGGAAGAAGGGCGTGACCGCCAAGGCGACGAAGACGAAGACCAAGAAGACCAGCCGGCGGCGAGCCAAGTCGAACGAGGACGACGACACGATCTATAAGGCCAACCTGCTCCTCCTTCAAGGCCACACCGGCATCGGCAAAACGGGTGCGTGTGTCGTGTCGTGTCATGTTGTGTGTCGTGTTCGTGTGTCTGATGGTAGAGTGGCGCGTGTGTCGTGTCGTGCAGCGGCGGTGTATGCGTGTGCGGAGGAGTACGGGTTTCGTGTGCTGGAGATCAATCCGTCGGTCGAGCGCTCGGGCGCCCACATCAAGCACCTTGTCGAGGAGGCCACACAGTCCCGTAACGTCGCCTCCCTCTCATCGGCGTCGGCGTTGTCGGCGGTCGCCCCGGCCGGCGGCTACTCCGTCTCGCCCTCCCCGCCCACCGCCCAAAGCGAAGCCGCCCGGTTCCCAACCCCTCCCCCCGCATTCTTCACATACCACGCCTGACACACCGCACACGCACACGCGCAATGGCACACGCGCAGGTGCTCGTTGGTGCTGTTTGAGGAGGTGGATGTGGTGTTTGCCACGGACAAGGGCTTCTTCTCGGCGCTCCGAGAGCTGTTGCGCATCGCCAAGACGCCCGTGGTGCTCACCTGCAACGCGGTGACTGACGAGGTGGCCGACCTCCTGCGCGACGTGTCGCCCCACATCGACCTCCGCTTCGGTCCCGTGCGCCACGCCGAGCTGCTGCTCCACCTGCAGCTCGTGTGCCTGGCCGAGGGCCGGCGCTGCGCCGACGTCGTCGCCCAGACCAACGACGTCAAGCAGCTCATCGAGCACGTCGGCGGCGACGTACGTCGCAGTCTGCTCGCCCTCCAGTTCTGGCTGCAGAACGGCGGCGGCGGCGGGTTCGACTATCTGAGCTGGCTCGGCCTGGGCGGACACGACTCGCTGGCGTCGCTGCTGCTGGCGGGCACGACCGGCGAGCGGTTGCGATTGACCGCGCAGGCGCCGATGTCGATGACGTCGCTGTTGCACTGCAACCTCTTCTCCTTTTTCCCGCGCGTGGGCGCCCAACCGGAACTCGCGGCGGCCGCCCCAGCCTGCCTGTTTGTCGACAGCGGAATGATGTCGACGACAACGACAGCGACCACAACGCCAACGACAGAGGCGCCGGCGCAGAGCGCGGTTGCTGCTGTCAGCAGGGACAGGGCGCTGGCGCTGGTGCCGATGATGGACGGGCTGGACTTTTTGTGCGACGTGCTGAGCTTCAACGACGCCGCCAACACCAAGCGACGCAAGCGCAAGATCTTCGTCCACCACGGCATGGACATCACGCCCGACGCCATGCTTGGTACGCCTTGGCACATGACACACGACACGACACGACACGACATACACGGCGCACACAACACAAGGAATGTGCTAAGGTGATTGGTTGGTCGCAGGGCGCGAGGTGGAAGCGGCGACGGCGGTGCTCGGGCTGGCGTGCCTGCCTGCGGCATTCGCAGAGGAACACGTCGAGGAGCTCGCCATCCCGCACAAGCACAACAAACAACTCACCCTACGGTTCGTGCTCTCAGCAATTTCTGAGGTTACATATCACCTTCTATTGGTGTCATTCCTGATCGACGACACGACACGACACGAACGACACGACACGACACGACACACACCAATATGCGCACAGGGAGGCCCACAGGGCGGGGTACGAGGCGGTGTACGGGGAGGTGGTGCCGAGGGTGCAGCACGTCTCGCGGTACGGCGGCATCGACTGCTTCGGCATGGCGCAGCACATCGCCCAGCTCGACGCCCTCAACCACCAGGCCAAGGAGGGGCGACGCAAGCGACGGTACGCGTGCGTGTGTCATGATGTGTTGTGTATGTGTGTCATGTGTGCGTGTGTCGTGTGTCGTGTGCGCGGTGGCTGAGTGTGTTGAGCGTGTAGGCACGTGAACTGCCTGGGGCTGGAGGGCGGCCAGCACGCGTGGCTGATGCGCCACGCGTTCCCGTTGGTGCCGCCCTCGCTCGTGGACCCCATCCACCAGCGGGACCGTCTACGCGCGCAAGCCGCCGGCGAAGGGGCCGATGGTGGTGATGATGACATTCAGCCACCGCCGGTGACTACAGCCAACGACGCCATTCAAGACCAACACGAGGCCCGAGCTCAAGATGATGAAGAAGGTAAAAGTGAAGAAGGTGAAGAGTGTGAAGAAGGTGAAGAAGACGACGGCGTGGATGGCATGGAGCCTTCCAGCAGCCAAGGCGAAGAAGAAGAGGAGGAAGAGGAAGAGGTTCGAGAAGAAGAGGCGACAGAGGAGCCAAGCCAAAGCCAAAGCCAGGAGGGAGTGCGGGAAGAGGAATGCAGCAGCCAGTTCGTTTCGATGGAAGATGAAGTGGCGGCCTATGAGGACGAAAGCGAAAGCGAAAGCGAAAGCGAAAGAAGGCGAAGAGAAACAGGATAACTCAGCAGTGGGAGGCCGATGAAGGTGAAGCTGACCACTCCGCCGACCGACGTGTTGTAGGATTTGGCAATCCACATACATGGCGAAGCGACAACTGAAGAAGGCAGCACTCAACCTTGTCAACATCGACAGACCGATCCCCAGGAATCACACCACGTGGTCGGGGAGTCCCACATTCGGGTTTTCTATTTGGTTCAGGCCAAATTTCCGCGGCTCACCAGCAACATCCCAATCACAGCACAGACCCCAAGACCCCTTCAGTGGTAGCGAGCCAAGCTTGGCGCCAGACTTCCACCACACACACCACATACGACACGCCACAACACGAGACACACTCGTCCTACACGTCCACGCACACAAGCAACAAAAATGGTGTGGATGATGAGAGAGGGAGACGGGGTGGTGATGCCGAAGCTGAAGCGCGTGAAGCGAGGGCTGCGCGACCACCTGAGCGGCGGGACCGCGGCGATGCGCGAGGCGCTGTGGACGGCCGCCGTCTACGTGTCGCTCTCGGTGTGGCACTACCTCTTCTTCCACCAGTTCCTTCTCTTCGCTCTCCTCTTCGCCGCCTTCGAGCTGGCCCCCACCTACGCCCACGTCCTGGCATTCCTCACTGTCGGTACCCACACATTCCACTCTTTGTTTGGGGAAAGCTTGTCCTACCCCAAGTCTGGAATGTGAAGTAGTCTCCTAACCCAGTCAAATTCCTGGCATTTTTCTAACAACAGGTTACCTCTATTTCTACTTTGACGGGTCGGAACGGACGGGTAAGCGCCGGTGGGAGTGGTTCCTCACCTCGTGGATCACCGACGCCCTCACCGACTACTTCCCCATGAAGCTCATCCGCACCAAGGGTCTGCATTTCTACATTCCACTCATTCCTGGCATGCCACACTCACATTCCATGCATTGCCGCTAGAGCTGCCGCCGGGCCAGTACATCTTCGGGGTCCACCCACACGGGGTGATGCCGTTCTCGGCGTTCCCCATCGGCAAGACCTCCCAGTGGCCCAAGCTCTTCCCCGGCATTCGCGTGCAGTGTACTGACTTCCTCGCATTCTTGCTTCCCGCCCACCACCTCACTAACGCTTCATCTTCCTCAGCTCTGACGGCGTCGTGCCTGTTCAAGATGCCCATCACCCGCGAACTGGCCCTGTGGGCCGGAGGCATCGACGCCTCGCGCGCCAATGCCGAGTACGGCCACCACAATCCATTGCATGCGTTGCCGCTCCAGGGTTAACGGTGTTGTGTGTGTGTCGTGTGGCTTCAGGCGTGCGTTGGAGAACAAGTTTAGTTTGCTGATCCTGCCGGGCGGATCGCTGGAGATCTTGGAGGCCCACCCGCACCTCAGCGAGCAGGTGTTGGTGCTCGAGCGGCGCAAGGGCTTCATCGAACTGGCCCTCAAGTACGGCATCCCGCTGGTGCCCGTGTACTCCTTCGGCGCCACCGAACTCTACGACCAGGTGCGTCCCTGTAGCACACGCACACACCCATCACCGCACACGCACTCAACCGCACACGCACACGACACTCACGCACACAGTTGAACCTGGCCAAGTCGTGGCGCGAGTGGATGATCCATCGCCTTCGGTTCGCGCCGACGATCGCGTGGGGCACGTCGCCGTGGAAGCTGCTTCCGGCAAAGTGCCCGGTCTACGTGGTCGTGGGCGAGCCGGTGACGGTGGACCACGAGCCCATGGCCCAGCCCACCAAGGAGGCCATCGACGCCCTCCACGCCCGCTACAAGCAGGCCCTGCTCGCCCTCTTCGAGAAGCACAAGCACGCCTACGGCTACGGCAACTCGCGGCTCGTCATCACCTGATGGATGTCAAGAAAAAAACATGTAAATTTCAACATAGCAAACTAACCCTAAATACACCATATGTACATAGTGTAAGTAAGTATTTGAATAATTTATTAAATAACTGGTGAATGTGGCATGTGATGGCGTCGCTATACAGGAGATGGTGGTGGGCGGGAAGGTGGTTCAGAGTTCGAATTCGAGCTTGGCCAGCATGGCGAGGGCGTCGTCGAGGTTGTTCATCATCTGCGCCGAGCAGTCGCGGATGGTGATGCCCCGCGCCTGGCTCTCCTTCAGGGTCGACTGCACCAGCATCGCCACCAGCTCATCCTCGCCCTCGCCCTCGTCCTCTCCGATCGACTGATCGCTCTCCGACGAGTCGTAGCCGCCCCAGCTTTCGCCGCTCGACAACTGGTGCTGCTGCCTCCCGCTCGCCGCCACCGCCAGCTGCTGCTGGGGAATGGCCGGCAGCACCATCGAGGCCGGCGGCGGCGGCAAGTCCATCACCGGCATCGATGCCGCACATTCCGTCGACACACTACCAGCTGGTGGCATTGCTGACGTCATCATCAAGGTAGTTTCGGTCGAAGCCGGAAGGGGATTGGCGGCGTAGACCGAAGTGAACTTGGCCGGGTCGCGGTTGTACTTGGACTCGGCCTCGGCCAGCTGGGCCTCGTTGTCGATGTTGAACGACGTCAGGAGGAGCGGCGACGGCCGCGCGCCGCGGCGCACCCGGACCGAACCCGTAGGAGACCCGCCGCAGCCGAGTTGTGGTCCAGTCGCAGGGACCGACTGGGGCGACGGCACCAGCTGCTCGGGCCGCGGCGTGACCTGCTGGGGCGGCAGCGACGAGAATCCGCCGCGGAGAGTGGGCGGCGCGGCGGGCGATGGCGATGGGGACGACGGCGATACGAAGAAGGGCGTCGAGCTGGCGGCGGCGGCGTCCTGGTCTGGCGGCACGGCGGCGGCACGCGAGGAATGCGAAGTCGACGACTCGAGCAGAGACGCGGCGGCGGTGGACGAGATGGAGGCGGAGGGGAGGGGGGAGGGCGACGACGGGTGCATGCGGGGAGAGGGAGGAAGGGCCGAGGGTCGCGGGCCTTCAGGCGGCTCGTCGGCCCGTGGAGTCTTCTTCAGACCCAACTTGGGCGCCTGCGCGTTGCCCTTCATCTGCTGCTTCAACTCGCTCTGAACCTGCACGTGCGCCATGAGCGTGTGCTGGTGCGCGTTGTGTCGTGTGTGTCGTGTCGTTGGGCGAACCTGTGCGAAGAGTAGTCGCTTCGTCTTTCGTAGTAGGCGGCTCTGCACGGCTTGGCTGAAGGTGAAGACGAACCGCCACTTTTCGTCCATGGAGAGCTTGAACCCCTCCTTGATCCATCGGTGCACCACATCGAACGGTCGCTCGTCGTGATCCACCATCCGCTCTACACCGCCACACAACCACAAAAGTAAGCGGACACGACACGACGCACGACGCACGACGCACGACGCACGACGCACAATGAAACATGGCATATGGAACGAACGCGACCAGACGTGAGAACGGAGAGCGGTACCGACTGTAGGGGTCACTTCCTTGAGTTGGAAGTTGTGCTGGAATCGCTCCATGCGCACTTTCTCGGCGAACATGCGGCACGCCTCGATGGCCGTCGTCGCGCCCGTGATCATAATACTAGAAGCAGCAGAGCATCATACCACCACATTCCACGACAACAACAACATGTTGGTGCTCTCTCCTCCATATCTCTCTCTCTCTTTCTCTTTGATAACAAACGCAAGAGTTGGTGGTCTGTACCTTTTGAACGCGCCATCAGAGAAGTAGATGCGAACCACCATCTTTTTCTGTAGAGAAAGAACAACAAGAACGGGGGAAGAAGAAGACGGGGGGGGGGGTTGGAAGATGAGTCCCCAAACTGGGCGCCGAGTAGAGGGAGAGAGTGCGTACCTGGGAGGCGAGTTCGGTGTCAGAACGGAAGGAGCGGAGGGCGGGAGGGGCGCTCTCGGCATGTGGGCGGGCAGCGGCCGAGGCAGACGACCCCAGCATTGTGGCCGACGATGGCATCGAGCTCAGCAGACGAGTCGCCATTATCACTCTTTCTCTACTCGCTGGGGGGGGGTGACTTTGGTCGTTCGCTCGTTTACCAAAACACTTCTTCTACTTCAATGCTTCTTCTACTACTGTAATGCTCTACTTGCTTCTTTCTTCTTCAAGGAGGAGAGCTTTGCCTTCGACAGTACCACTGGGTACGCCTTCCAGTACTCTATCTATTCCCTTTCGCCTTCGCTTCGTCTTCACGTCGTCCGTGTCCGACACAAGCCAAGCGAGGCGGTAGTATAGCACTGATGAAGACGGTGGTCTATTACACCACCAGCCGGTGGTGGTGTTGGGACCTTGCGGCGGTCGTGCACGGTGCCGCAGCTGCACTATTTGCCCCTCGCTCTATGGAAACGCGAAGTTCCGTGGGTGAGGTCTCCACTCCGAGGAGTATGAGAGGCCCCTTCTTCATCACCCGTCGTACATCGAACCGGTCTTCGCCTCTTCCTGCGGTTCGTCGCGCGTGTGCGGTCGCACGGCTCCTTGTTGCACCAAGAGACACCACCACTCGGATGCTCGCTTTGAATTCTTCGTCTGATTGCCATTGGTCGCAATTTAGTTTATTTTATTTATTTTTCCAAAAACTCCGCCGTCGTATGGGCCACAACTGCTTGACGAGAAGCTCGTGAGAACACAAGGCCACAAGGATACAAGAAGAGTTGATGAGATAACCATTGTGGCAATTGGACGCGCCTGATGAGATCCAGAGAGGCGCAATTAAAAATATGTACAGCATACAGAAGTAGAGGAGGCCACATCAGTCGAGAAAGTTGAAGGTCTCCTGGGCTGGCGTCGGGCTGGCGGGGGAAGGCACGACGGGCAGGGTCTGGCCCGATGACGACGACGACGACGGTGATGGTGAAGATGATGGTGGCGCTGGAGATGTGGGCAGCTTTCTGGCGAAGGCGTCCCCGAACGGATCCCACGCAGCTTCCGCAGCTGCTGCAGTCGGCGACGACGCCCCGGGCGACGCCAGCGGAGCCCGAGAGATCGACGGCGAGCGAAGGCGCGGTGGCGAGGTTAACGCAGTGTGCGGCGCCGCGTAGGTGTTGGCTCGCGGCCTCCTGGCCCTCGATGGCAGCGCGATCTTGATTAGCCCAGTCTCTGCCACGCCGCCATTGTGCCGATGAGGCTCCTTCCCGCTGCCGCCGCCGCCCAGGCCCAGCAGAAGGCCTCCATCGCTGGCGGCGCTGTCGATTGCGGCGGGCGGCTGGCTCAGGGGCACGACCCCGAGCGGCCCGAGCTCAGCGTCGCCGACGCCACTGGCGAGCGGTTCGTCGATGGAAAAGAGCGACGGGGTGGCCTGCGAGGTGGTGCCGTTGTGGTGGTGGTGGTGGAGGCTCAGGTCATGCGGTGAGGCCGCGGTGGTGCGGAAGAGAGGCGCAGGAGGAGCCGTCGCTGCTCGCGAGCGACGCGACTGCGATGAGCCGAACGGGTCGTCATCGCCGCCCAGTCCGACGCCATAATGATTAGCCTCTATCGCTTCTCTGCACACCCACACACATACACGCACACAAAACACACACACACATACACACACACACACATACACACACACACACACAACGAGCATGCATTAACACCCGCTCTTAATCATCCGCAACCATCGACGACACGCAACACGCAACGCAACGCGGCCATTGAGTAGGGGAAGTTGGTGTACTGGATGGCGGCAACCCAGGCGGCGGCATCTGAGGCGGAGCGGCATTCGAGCGACCACGTGACTGCGGGCGCTTTGCCCCGCACGAAGAACTGGAGCGGGTTGCGTTCGTCCACGCCCACCGCCTCCACCGCCGCGATCCGCATGTCTGACTTGACCCGCTTCTCCTCCGACTGCACACCATTTCTCTTATTAAATAAATAAATAACATTGATTTTATTTATTTAATGGCTATTTATTGCAGAATTATCATAATTACTATCGTATTTTGTGGAATTATTAGCGTATTTATATGATTTGTTAAGGGCGTACGAGAAGACGAAGGCCGGTTGTGGTGAGTTCGAGCAGGTTGATGCCGGGCCACACGGCCTGCCAGCCCATGACGCTGATGACGTGGCCGGCCTTGGTGACGTCGCCCTCGACGATCGAGGCTCGCTCGTAGGGCGAGACGACAGCCGACGTAGCGGTTGCTGCCGCCATCTTAACTGCCGTCGTTGACTTCTTCAGGGTCTGGGAGATGGTGGAGAAGAGGGAGGACGAAGACGAAGACAATGGCGACGACGGCGAGCTGAAGGACGAAAGGGACGACTGGTGATGCGAAGATGATGAAGACGAAGCGCTGGGGAGCGAAGAAGAGGCTGTTGAGGGCATGTCGAAATCCAGCAGCTGGTCGTGCTTCGCGCCACCACTCGTGGCCGACCATTTGTCCGTGAGCGAGCGCCAAGCGTCCTTCGTTGCCTCCATGATCTTCTTCGTTTTACTTTCGAGCGCTATTCTGCAGCCACTTTAGTACAACAGCAAAATCAATAATAATAATTTTTATTTATTTTTGATTTATTCATCTATTTATTTTTCTAAATACGTTTCACGCAAGTCAGACGTTAGTGGAGTAAACTGTTGTTTGTTCGAACAAAGCTGCGCGCAAGCAAGATGGAGGTGTTGCCGCCAGAGGTACGCCAGAATAACATCACCTTTATCATGATTGCTGAGCTGACAAGCGTGTGCAGGTGTGGGTGGACATACTGGGGTGGGTAGATGGCGCTGTCGATGTCGTGCGCTTTGGCCTGACGTGCCGCGCTGCCAACGTGCTCGCCACCGACCCCTCCCTGTGGCGCACCCTCTGCCCTCGTCTCCTTTTCCCCTCCTGCGCTGGCCAGGTCCGCCCCCCATTTCTATTCTTTTAGACTTATTTAATTAAAAACACAATATTGTACATTATCGTCTTATTGTTCCCTCATTTTTATGTGTTCACTTATTTTTATATATTTGTTGATTTTTTTCTTTGCAGGTGCGACGCGCAGTGGAGGCCCAAGCGGGCGTCGAGAGGGCCAAGGTCGACTGGCGGCAGCTGTGGATCGAACACCGCCGGCCGAGTCTGCGCTGTGCGGTCTTGGGCGCCGTCGATAGCGGCAAGTCGGTCCTCCTCGCCAAGCTCGCGCTCCATCTCGGAGTCGTAACTCACGCAGGTCAGCCCCAGACTTGTGTGTTTTGTGCGTGTCGTGCGTGTCGTGCGTTCGTGCGTGTTGTGAATTGTGTCGTTGACTGATCATGTACAGATCTCGAGAGTGCGAGGCAAGAATGCAGCAACTTTGGGTGGTCCGCACCCGGTGCTGACTACGTGCGGCTGAGCGAACAGCTGCCTCGAGCCTTCAAGTCAGCGGATCACGACGCTTGTACCTCCTTCCTTCTCCTTCTTCCTCTCTCCGAGGTTGTGGTTGGTTACCTAGCAACATTGACAATGTGGTTGCCTTGTAACAGATTATGTGCCGATGGAGACCGACCACACGCGATTGGCCATGATACTGACCAATCATCACTCCCATGGCTCCCTCGAAGTATGTAAACGTTTTTCGGATCATTGTTTTTTGTTTTTTATTTTTTATTTCCATACGTTTCTGCTTCCAGGGCGTTGCGGTCATTATTGATTGTGCACTCTTGGTCGTCAGTGCCGCTCCTGGCGAGCTCGAGGTAATGCACCACCGCTCACACCGCACACACCACCGCACACACCACCGCACACACCACCGCACACACGCTGATTCGAATGAAGTGAACTTACTGTTATGCACTTTTAGGCTGGCTACTTCTACACCGCGAAAGTTCTGCAACAGCTGCAGGAGGCGGGGAAGCGCGTCGTGGTGGTGGTCAACAAGCTCGACCTCTTCGAAGATCCCGCTCGGCGGTGGGACGAAGCCCTCGCAATGTTGATGCGGTATGCGCCAGCCACCAATCATCCTGCGGAATGAACTACTTTTGTTATGTTTTCCTATATTCACCTTGGAATGTCGTGCACGCAGTGTGTGGAGAACGACGTACCATGATTGCTTCGTTCCCGTGTCTGCCAAGAGCGAAGCCAACCTCTGGGCAGGGTCTCCTGGCTTCGGTGCGCGGCCCTGTTATTGTTCTTGTTAATTATTTCGATTTATTATTCATTATTTCACATTTAAAATCATTAGAATATTAATATAGATTATTGTTTTGGCGCGGCTGGCAGGTTGGTTTAAAGGGCCGACCCTGCTGGAGGCCGTCCAGCGGCTGCCACTGCCGCGACCCGGGAGCGCAGAGGCGCTGGAGGTAACAACGTCAGAGAGATGCGTGACGCTGAGTGTGTGGAAGATGGTCGAGTGATGTACCCTTCTCTCCCCCATTTCTCTCTCTTTCCTCCGTGGTCCCAGCTCCAGGCTGAGGCTCGGGCGCAAGAATCGCGCCGCCAAGGTCCTTGTGGCGCGGTGATTCTAAACAGCCGCATCCGGCCTTATGGTGCTCCATTCTCTTCCAAAACAAACGGGAAAACACAGGACACTCGCCACACGCCACGCACGACACGCGCGACACACATGGCACGTTCCAAACTCGCTCACGTTCGTCCGTTTCACAACTGGTGCCTGCGCAGACCAATCGTTTTTGGTGCTCGTGGCTCTGGGCGTTCTGCGCAAGGATTCAACGTTTGTCATGACCACCACGTCCGACCAAACGGCGTCTGGTCCGGTGACATTTTCCAGCATCACTGACATCCACGACCGCGAGAGGTTCGCATTCTGCGCGTGTGCGTGTGTGTGCGTGTGCGGTGGTGCGTGCGCGTATGCGTGCGCGGTGCGTGTGTGTGCGTGTCGTGTCCCTTCTGAGCTCTTCTTTGTTTGACGTCATCGCCGTCCAGGCCCTTTGCGCTGCCTGGGGAGGTGGTGCAACTCCGACTGAGCGCCCCCATATCACTGGCAGCCGACCTTGATGACTCCACCGGCTTCGCATTTGTTGAAAAATGATACTCCATTTCTTGTGACGCTGCACCGCACACAGGGAGGGACTGCGGGCGTGGATGAGTTCACTCGCCACGTTGGCTGTTGGATACGGCCATACTGCGCAGAAAGCACCGCTTCCCATCCGAACAGCGAAGTTAAGCTGCGCCAGGCGGTGTTAGTACTGGGGTGGGCGACCACCCGGGAATCCACCGTGCCGTATCCTTTTTACCCCTCGCTCGCTTTTTGCTTCAGACCAGTCAGAGCAAGCTCCCTGGCACATGTGGTGCTTGCCAATTGGCGGAGGGAACAGTGGGAAGGATGAAGATGATGGGGAGACCACAAGATGCATGAAACTGGTGATCTCCTTGAAGGTTGGGGACAAACCTGTACACATAACATATGTGATTGTGTAGAGTTCAGCTTCTGTCATTGCAATGACAACAACAAAGTTGTGTCTTCACCAGGCTACAACCTCTGCACATTGGATTGGTGTGTGGAGAAAGGCTAAACTCAATGTCCATCTGGTGGATTTCATGGCCTTAGGCTAAGGCCACTGCAAGTGCAAGTAGAAAATGTAGGTCTTGAGTAGGTGCACAATGCCTCCCCCCAGAGGCTGTGGTTGAGGTCTGTGTTGTGCCAAAAGCAGTTGACCACGTTGAGGATTGTTTGATTAAAATGTTCTGCCATTGGATTCCAGGTCAAACATGCCTTGGCCATGTAGGAAATCACTGGTTCAACATACTTGCTGCCTTGATTGGTGATGAGTTGCTTGATGGGTGTGCTGGGTGGGGCTGAGCTGATGAAATCTTGGAGGGCTCTGATGATGTCTGACTTCACTGTGAGTAGGTAATATGTTGCTGTGGATGACTTGTAGCTGATGCTCTGGGCATGGGATGGGGAAAACTTATAGCATGCCCAATAGAGTCATTGCTGAGAAAGATGGGGTGAGGTGGGATGGAGAGTTGATTGTGGAGAGTGTTGCCCTTGCAGTTGATGGACTCCCTGGAATTGAAATACCAGACTTCACTTTTGTGGCTATGGGGTGGGCTGAAATGGGTGAAAAGGGTGATGATCTGTGGCACTTCAGCAACATTGATGAAATTGTTTAGCTGATCTTGTTTGCTTTCTTGTTGCAATTTGCAGCAATGTGTCCAGGGAAATGCCAAAAATCACATTTGTTGATGTTATTCAGTTTCTTGCTGGTGGGCAATTTTCTGTAAACATTTCCCTCCACTCCCTTTCCTCTTCCTTTCCAGTGGCTTGCCATGCTTCATATTTTGATTTGTAGAGGAGGGTGCAGCAACTGTGAGAGTGGTCTTTCACTAGTTGAGACTTGCTGGACTTGAGGCAAGGGGAGGAGCTAACAACACACTTGAGCCATCAAAGAGCTCTTGCTGTGCATACCAATTTTCAACTGATAACTGTCATCATGACAATGCTGTCTGGCCTACTGGCCAACTACTGCACAACTGTTGAGCACATTGAGCTGGGGGGGCAACAAACATCTTGACAAATTAAATTGGGATAGTTGTGAAATCTCATGGGATACTGAAGAGAAGGTATTGGTTGATGGAGGTGCTTGACTGCACACTTGTGGCTGATGTAGGTGATGTTGGTGGGCAGCTTCTCTTTGGCACTGCACACCACACTGCACAGTGAGGCACTGCCACAGTGGGCGTGGATGAGTTCACACGCCATGTGCCACTCTTGGCTGTTGGATCCAAAGATCTTTGGGTCATCAAAAGAGAGAGAAAGGGTTGTTGGATACGGCCATACTGCGCAGAAAGCACCGCTTCCCATCCGAACAGCGAAGTTAAGCTGCGCCAGGCGGTGTTAGTACTGGGGTGGGCGACCACCCGGGAATCCACCGTGCCGTATCCTTTTTACCCCTTGCTCGCTTTTTGCTGCGGACCACATCCTCATGACGGCCGTACGTATCCTTTTGCCGTGATCTCTCTGGCGCGCGCTGGAGGTGGGCTGTTGATTCTATTGAGGCCATCAAGCTCAATTAATGGTACTGATCGATGACGAACCCGCCGTAGTGCCGCCTGACTGCGGCGAGGATGTTGGTCGGGGTGGGAGCTTCCGACGACGGCTCGACCAGGCGGTCGGGTGCCTTGACGCCCGGACGATTGTTGTCGTACGTGAACGCGTTCGTGCCGCAGTGGGGCCTGCACGCGTAGACGCCCAGAAACAGGAACCTGCGATGCGCCTTGTCCACCACGAACGTATACCTGTGCCAGGAAACCAACCATTACTTCCCACACACGACACACTGCACACGACACACAGCACACGATACAACACGACACACGGCACGAGAAGATGCTAGTGTATGGAGCTGTTCGGCATCGTTGGTGACGAGGGTGAGCTCGAAGCGGTTGGGCTCGGCCGCCGACGGCGAAGCGCGCCAGACGCGCGCCTCGATCTCGACCTGGTACTCCTGCACCTGGACCGTGCGCTCTCGGGTCGTCGCGGCGTCTTCGTGCCAGACCAGCCCCTCTCCGGCGGCGGCGGCCAGTAGCTCGTCGCCGGTGGCCGCCAGCGCGTGCGGTACCGGCTGGTCGGCGAAGACTGGCGGCTTCTCGCCCGTCAGCTCTTGCGGGTCGCCCTCGGCCAACATGCCGACGCACTCCCACAGCAGGCCATAGTCGTAGGCGGGGGGCGATGATGCTGACTCGTTGGACCCGGAGGTGGTCGGCTGCTCGTTTTCGTCCTTGCGACTCCGCTTGCAGGCGCTCGCGGCAGCAGCAGTAGTGGGCTCTTCTTCTTCTTCTCCGCCACCATCATCTCTTTTCTCCGCCAGCACCGGCGTCGTCTTCGCGTCGCCTTCCTCATGCAGCTGCGTCGTCTTCCTCTTCGGCGAGTTCACCGGTTTTGGTTTTATTTCTTGTTTTATTATGCAAACTAATTTTTATTGAAGCCTGCATTGCTACAATTAAACACGATATATATATATAATTGTAGCAATTCATGAATTATTGTGTACACGGCGTGGCCGGTGGGTCAGGCAAAGCAGCAAAGAAAGAAGCGATGAACACGCTCCGTGGAGAGGAAGTAGTTGGCAATCATCTCCACGTAGCGCAGGAGCAGGAGCTCGCGCACGCTTGTGTCGCCATCACCGGGCTCGGGCTCGAGCTGCGCCAGCAGGTCCACCACCCGTCGGGCGCCCCTTTCCAGCCGGTCCTCTAACGCCTTCGACCTGGCCCACGTCGCCAGCTTTTTTCGTTCGCTCTTCGCCAGCGGCGTCGTAGTCGTCGCCTTGTCCGTCGTCGGGTCGCACCACGCCACGTCCGACTCGTCGCGCTGTGCGAAAAGCGGCGCGTAGGACCGGGCCACGAAGCTGCTGACGAACTGCGCCGCCGCCCGCAGCTCATCACGGGATGCGGCAGTGTCCGGGGGGCGGCCGTCGTTGGCGGTGGCGCGCGCGAGGTGGTGGCGGGCCAGGAGGAGGATGTACTTGCGGAGCGCGATGCGCAGCTGGGCGTCGCTCCAGTCCGACTCGAACGGGACCGGGGTTCGGTACTCGAGCTCGTTGTAGACGTCCTCCTCCTGCCGTGGGGTTCGGGGTGCGATAAATTGTTAGTAGTGGCCCACACGCAGGGGCGCCGTGTGTGCCACACGCAGCGTGCGCCGTGTGTGCCGTGTGTGCCGTGTGCGGTTTACATGTGAGGTGCACCTTGGAGGTGGACCACATGTTGACGGAGATGCTGTCGTCTGACGTGGCCATCACGCGATGGAACCAAAACGGCGGAATGTAGAGCACGTCGCCCGGACTCAGGTCCGCCTGTGTGAGCACACACGCACTACGCTCAGTCGTTGTTCGGTCCTTGATCGATCGTGATTGGCAACTGTACCTGATAGCCGGTGATGTTGTGGTCGAAGTTGGCGAAGACGGAGCGGAGGCGATCGGGCTCGGCCAAGAAGTCCACCTGCGACTGCCTCCTCGACGGATGAAGCTCCGGGAACAGGTGCAGCTTCGCGTGCTCGGATGGCGGCGACAGAATGAATGATTTCGTGCCGTGCACCTTCACATATGTGCGTGTGCGGTCGTGCGAGTGCGGCTCAGTTGTCGCCAATGCACACGAGCGGGGTGTCGTGAGCTACGTACCTGGACGTAGAGGTTGTGCGAGCAGTCGTAGTGGGTCTGCGCAGTGACGCCCGCGGTACCCATCCACAGGTTGACGTCGTGTCGACTCGGGTCGAACCTGCCTGACTCCCCACCCTCACCTTCGTCTTCGCTTTCGTTTTCGTTTTCGCCTTCGCCCTTCGAGGGCGGTCGCCACTCCCTCGGTACGACCAGGAAGTCGAACGGGTCCACGTCCTGCGCCAGCTCGGGGAACGTCGCCAGCGGGCAGCTCAGGTACATGTAGCTCGCGGGCGTGGCTACTCGCGTCGTGGTGCCAAAGCCACCAGCTGCGTGCTCGGCAGCGTGGAGCTGTTCGAGCGGCGCGCCATGGGCTGTCGCGTTGCTGTCGTCCGACAAGGTGACGGCGCCTGTCAAAGTAGAGCCAATCTTTAGGTCATGGTGTGTGTCGTGTCGTGTCGTTGGTCGTGTCGTGTGTGTCGTGAGCAAAGTGGTGAAGACGCCTACCGAGGTCGGTGAAGAGGGACGGATGGGCTTCGCGCCAGAATTGGCAGAGAGAGCGCCTGGTCTTGGTGTGGGGCGGTTGCCAGCCAAGCGCGGCGAGGCCCGCCATCGGGCTCTGCTCCGTGAACCACGTGAAGATCCTCTTTCTGCAATGCTTCCGAGCCCACTTGAGTGCGCGTGCGCGTGTGCGGTCGTGCGTGTGCGTGTGCGTGTGCGGGTTGTAGTTCCAAGGAGACGCACGTGTGCTTGAAGACGGGCACGCTCACTTGCTCCACGCCGCTAGCGTCCGATGCGCTGCAAAAGTACTGCGGCGTCCAGAGACCCATGGCACGCCACCGTGCGGCTCCGGTGTCGGTGAGCACCACGGGCCTCCTGTCCCGTGCCAGCGCAGTTGCAAACTCTGTGCCCTTGGCCTCCACCCTCTCCACGCTACCTGCCAGCAAGTTTATTTTATTTATTTTATAATATTATTGTTTTAATTTGTTATTTTTATTTCAGTGTAAATGCAATACCTTGGCTGAAGTAGCCGTGAGTGAGCTCCTGCAGAAGGCCAGCCGGCTGAGCAAAAAGGGGCAGTGCCGCGGCCGTGACGATGGCCAGCACCCACAAGAGGACTGCAGGTCGCGGCATGACGAGAGATTTTTGATTTTTGATTTTTGAAGACGGCGACAGGGTGCCCGCCGTGGCGGGTCAGAGGTTTTACCCCCCCTGTGCACACCGGTTTTTCGGGGGTTCGGGGTTTAACCGCCGTTTGTTTCTGTGAACGCTTTGTCGCTTGCCTTCTTAAGGGTTGTCGGTTCGTAGAGCAGGCTGCATCGTTTGCGCCATAATTCGTGGTGGTGCGCGAGGACCGCGGCGCACAGCTCCACTGCAACGTCCTCCGCCTTGCTTCCGGTAATACCAAAGTAGGCGAGTGCCTTGGGGAGGGCTTTGGGGACGTGTCCTGTTTTGCCCAGTGTGTGGTCGTAACCGCTGAGGTCGTCGAAGTGGGGGATTGAGACATCTAGGGCAGGGGTGACCGCCGAGCCGTACCACGGGGGGAGCCGGTTGGAGTGGTTGTTGTTAGCGTTAGCTGCCGTTGCTATAATGTTCTGGGTGGTTGTGGCAAGCGCGGTTTTGCTAGCGAGGGTCAGGGCGCACTGTTCGCTCAGGGCATGGTCCTGTGTTTCCTTGGATCCGCAGGATGGGCACAGCTGGTCGGCATATATGGTCTGCTTGGTGAGCCATCGGCGTGCTTCGGTTCTTACGGTCTGGGCGTATGCGGGGATTCCTTTGGGTGTGGGCGGGGAGCCAGCTGTGTTCTTGTTCCAGAATAGGTGGTGAGCTGAGTCTTTGGTTGGAAGTGACCTGTTTAGGGTCTTGTAAATGAAGTTGGACGCAGAAGCGGCCTTTGGGTTATGTTGTACTTTTGTTGTGAGTGAGGCGTTTGTGGTGGTGCGGCTCGGACCTGGTCTAGCGTTTTGCCGTGTGTGTAGCACGTGTCTGCGGACACCGCCTTCGATGGGTACACCCTCGAGGTTGAAAATGGTGGCCTGTTCGGAGCCAGTTTGTATTTCCCACTTCGCAATGACAGGGGGCATGTCGATGCCCTCCTTGGCTAGCTTGTCGGCTTTCTCATTTCCATTGAAGTACTGATTGATCTTGCTGGGGAGAAGGAGCTCCAGCTCCTTGATCTTGAGTTCTAGTTTGTAGAGCGCGTCCGGTCCGTTGCGTTTGGCGGCGGCTTTCTTATCATCAATGTGGCTAGGGATGTGTGTGAGGCTGATGCTGATGCTGTAATTGTTAGCTAGTCGTTTGCGGATCGTCTGGATGCGCAGGACCATTGGTCTGGCAATGACCTTGCATTGCTTAGGCAAGGGCCATGTGGGATAGTTTTGCACTATATTTATGGCAGACTTGGAGTCCGTGATGATGTGGATGTTGTAGTCCATTGGACACACCTTCAGCGCTTCTTCTATGGCCAGGAGTTCCGCAACTGTGGATGTGGGGGCCAGGAAGGCCGAGGCGCTGCAGTTCCTGGGAGAGTTTTTACTGTAGTAGACTCTGATGCTGCACCTGTGGTTGGAGCATGATCCATCTGTGAAGACGAAGATGGTTTTGGTAGGGTGGTGGATGAGCGACATTTCTTTCTCTTCTGTGCTGAGCTTGTGGTGAATCCGTGGGGTGGTGGTTGGAGGGCAGATCGTGCCCTTGAGTAATGAGTCTTTGATCCTGATGGTTCCTGGGGGGCAGGCCTTGGTTAGGAGGGATGTGTACTCGTCATCTGTTGTGCTGCAGCCCAGGCAGCACTCCAGTTTGAACCTGCTGATCATATTTCCTGTGGTGATGTCAGACCACTTTACATAGCCTTGGCAGAGCAGCTCTGCTGCAAGTTCACGGAAGTCCATGTGGTTGCCTATGATGTTGGGGTCATTTATCTTGGTGTGGATTACTAGTTTGTTGCATTGCAGCGCTTCCTTGACATGTGTGTTTGTGGTGTGGTCAGATCGCATGGCTGAGTACCAGGTGTTTTGTGTAGTGAGCGCGCTGAGGGTATGGGAGTTCATTTCTATGGCCGTCTGGCTGCAGGTGATGGCGTCTTGCAGGTCTACCAGTGATACCAGGCCCTTGCCCCCCCTGCTTGGTTCGAGGAAGAGTGGTTTTTGGTTGGAGCGGGCGTGTAGACCTAAGGCTTTATTGATGGTGATCGCGGTACAGCGGTCCATATCGGCTAACCATTTCTGGTTGTAGTGTATTGCGGCCATGCTGTATGCTATGTAACTGTTGCTGATCATGTTGCTCACTATCACTTTTTGGTCAGCAGTCAGTTTCCTGTTGCGGAGGGCGTATTGGAAGTTTTTGAGCTTGCTCGCGAGGTGTGATTTCTGGTTGTCCCAGTTTAGGTCAGCACGTAGGAAGACGCCCATGTACTTGTATGGGGTGTCATGGGAGATATTGGTGATCTGGGTGACGGATACAGTACCGTCATCATTGGATACTGGTACTGGAAGGTGGGCGGGCATGCTACTCGCTTTCTTGATCACACTCAGGTTGTTAGTGTATGCAGATTTACATGGGTTGATCTCAAGGCCTACCCATTGGCAGAACCTATTTAGTTTGCAGAATATAGTGTTGATTTGGTGTGCGGTTGCCCCGAGCAGGACTAGGTCATCGCAGTAGGCCACGGTGGCCAGGCGCAGGCCCTGGTTGAAGGTGTACCCTTCTGGGCCTGTGTTTATCCAGTCAAGCAGGGGGTTAATTGTGAGGGAGAACAGGAGCGGGGACAGGGTGTCACCTTGTCGAACGCCTCGTGCAATGTCAAAGTCCTTGCTGCGCTCCCCATTGAGGATGAAGTGGGCATTGCTGCTGGAGTATAGTTCCCCAATTAGATTGGTAAATTGTTCCCCAACACCATAGTTTTTGAGTGTGGCGATCATTGCCTCGTGCTTTACTGAGTCAAATGCTTTCTTACAGTCCACAAAGACCAAGTGGAGCTCCTTGTTGGATGTGTTTGCTTCCTCTATTGTGTCTATGATTGCATGGAGGGGGGTGGTCAATGACATGCCCTTCCGGAAGCCCATTTGGCTGGGGCTGAGGACATGGGGATTGACGGCTAGCGATAGGCGATTTGTGATGATGGAGGTGAATAGTTTGTACATCACTTGTAGTAGGGAGATGGGGCGGTAGTTGGCTGGGTCGTGTGGTGTTCCATCTTTTGGGATAAGTGTCATTCTGGCTTGCTGCCACTCCTCTGGCAATTTTTCTCCTTTGTTGATGATGTCGCTCATGGCTTTGCGTATTATGAAGTGTGCGGCGCTTGGTAGGGCTTGCAGGATAGCGGAGTGAGGCTGTCTGTGCCTGGTGCGCCTTGTCGTAGGTTATGCAGAGCTGTTTGGTATTCTGCTTCGGTGATGGGTGCTGTGAGGAGGAACTCGGTGTTCGCCTTGACGGTTTTGGTATGGTTGAGCCATGGTGTGTCTGCGTGTGAGGTGGGACTGGGCGCATAGAGGTTTGACCAGTATTGGTGGAAGGTGTTCATTATATCTTCCTGTGCTCGCACAAGGGTTCGCGCGCCGTTGATGATGGTGGTGGCTGCTGAAATTCCTTTATGTTTTTTGCGCTTTCCGTTTATGAGTTGCCAGAATCGTTTTGTGTCTGAGCGGTGCAGTGTCACCAGCTTGTTGAACTGGTCTGACTTGTGTTTGCTACGTGTTTCGCTCGCGGCTGTTTTGAGCTTCTTGTTGGCGGCTGCTTTTTTGGCGTTCACTTCATGGAGGTATGCGAGCGCACTAGCTCGGTCCAAGGTTTCGGGTAAGGGAACATGAGCCCACTCCGGGGCTTTGTCAAGCTTTAGCATGGCCGCCGTGATGGTCGGTCGTTCGTTTCTGGTGATCGCTTGTGTGATGTGTCTTTGCGATTTTACCATTTTCTTTAGGAATTTGCGTTGGTCTCCCAGTTCGGTGTTTCTCCTGTGTTTGGGGCTTGGCGTTGATCGGATGTTTTTGTTACACCATTCCTGTGTGGTTTGCGTGATCCATTTGATTTTGTCACTGGGACTGCGGGTGTCGCGGTTGTCCATGAGCGTGATTTGCGAGTCGATGTGTGTTTGCATGTCAGTTTTGGTGGTGTTGTTTTTGAGCTTGTGGGAGTTGTAGCGTCTGGTGGAGTTGATCGTTGGTTTGTGTGTGGTCGGTTTTTTGGTAATTCCGAGGGTGGTTATTATTGGGGCGTGATCTGATGTGATGCTGCCCGAGTGGTCAATTTGGGTTGTGATTGGTGTGGTTTTGCTCATGAGGAAAAGATCGATTCTGGATGCGTGGATGGTGTGTTTATTGATTTTGTGGTATATACTGGAGCATGTTTTGGCCAATGCCTGTTTGTCTGTTGTGTTGAGCTTGCGGCCTATGTACCGGAGGATGGTTTGTGGCAGGTTTGCCAGGCCTTCCTGGCGGTGGTGTATGGGGGCCTCTGTGTGGGCAGAGAGTTTAGTGTAGGTGTGTTCGATTACCTTGGGGTGCTCCTCGCGCCATACGTCGTGGAGGGCTAGGGAGTCGATCATTGTTTCTAGCCCCGGCGTGGGTTTGTGTGGCCGGTTAGTGCCAGAGGACCATTTGTCGAGCTGGGTTCGAGTTGCGTTGAAGTCCCCGCCGATCACCAAGTCCCACCCGTTGCGGGTGACGTCCGTGGCGATAGGGCACAGTTTATTAGTGAACCAGCGGGACTTCTTGGTTATGGTTTTGGCAGGTCCATAGATGTTGAGCAGGACAGTGTTGCGACCGTTTATTCGGAGTGAGGCGGCCATGATTCTTGTGTTCGTATATTTTGTTCCTGTTTTGTGGGTGCTTGTGATACTGTGGTGTAGGATTTGGTTGGTGATTTCTGGTCTTGTCATGATCGCCGTGCCTCCGGCCGGGTCCGCGCGATCGTTTGGGAGATATTTTATTTGGGTATTGAATTGTTCGTGTGTGATTAGGCCCTTTTTGAGTTTGTGGTGGAGTATACCCTCCTTGCGTTTAATCTTCTTGTTGTTAAGGCTGGCCTGCGTTGGGGAGTTGAATTTGATGTTGTTAACGAGTCTGCGGCTGATTGATTTGTGTGTAGTTTCCGTATGGTGTTGGTTGTTCTTGACTACGCCTGTTTCTTGTATCAGCACTATGTCCCATTTTTTCTTGATCATCAACTTGTCGATGTCGAAGAGTGACGATATCCGTCGGTTTATGTTAATGGAGACGATGTTAAGGGTGGCGATGCCGGCGACAGTTGTGACGGCGATGTTGGACATTGGGGCGTTGTAGTCGATGTCGGTGTTGTTGGCTGCCGCGCCTGGGATTAGGGATAGGATCAGGAGGGTTACGGCGAGCGTGGTCCATCCGCTGTTTGCTGTTGTTGCTGTTTGGCTGTGGTTAGCGTGTTTGGTTTTTGTTTTTCTTCGTTTGCGTGTGATGGGCGCGAGCGTGGGCATGGCGAGTGTTTGGGTGTGGTAGGTGTATGTGATGTTAAGGTGCTTTAGTTCGTTTATGTGTTGGGTGCTGTTGGGGTGGTTGGTCGGTGTGGCGAGTGTCGTTGGGGCCAGCATAAGGAGGAGGGTGAGTGCAACAAGAATGGAGGCTGTTTTATTAATGGTCGGAGTCCTGGCAGATGTACTGGGCAGGGGCCTAGTCGTGGAAGATTGGGGTGTCGTCCTCTTCAACGTGTTCTCTGGCTTTGCGGTACTCTTCCTCACGTTGGGCTGCTTGTATTCTCCTGCGTTCCGCTGCACTGCGCTTGTGCTGGGCTCGGCCGGCATTGGATGTCTTACGTTCCTCACGTTCCTTGTCCAACTTGTCTCGTTCGTCGTTGGTGAGGGTGCGTGTGACCTTGAGGGGTTCCTTGTGTCGGCCCATCCTCTTCTTCTTTCCTGCGTGGTTGGTCGTGTGGGTGTGTTGGTGTTGGGGTGGGGCGGGGGGGTGTTGTGGGTTGGGGTCTGGTTGGTGGGGTTACCATTAAGTTCGAGGGCCTTGGCTTGTCCTTGGGGCGTGAGGAATCCGATGATCGAGACCGGCCTGAGCAGGCCGTAGTCGTCCTTCAGATGGGTGGCCGACATGGCTGGTTCCCCGGCGTAGGCGGAGGCGAGGCGGACTAGCTCGGTGCGGTTGACGTGGTTCCCGATGTTGGCAATGGTGACCGAGAAGTACTCCTGGTATCGGTTTTTCTTCCACGAGGTGATTGAGACGTCGACTCCGTGGAGGATGAAGTTTGCTTGGTGGCGGAGATCATTGGCCAGCTTCTCGTCTGCCATTCGGATCCTGTAGTTGCGGGAGTTGTAGAATTCGAGGTCAAAGTCGGTGGTGGCCAGGGTGATGCCCTTCTTTTTCGCTGCGAGGATGACGTCGTTTTTCTCGACTCCCTTCTTGTGTCCTTCGGGTAGACGGAGGCCGAGGAACAGGTGCGTATCTTGGTCGTTTTCTTGGTCGTCAGCCGTGCTGGGGAAGTCGCCGGTCGAGACGGAGCCCCATCCAAGGTGGCGGCGGACGTGTTCGGTGATGGCCTCGACCTTGTCCTCCGGGATCTGGACGTAGAGCGTCTTGGTCGAATTCAGGTATCGGAGTTGATGTTGATCGTAGGTGATGCCCATCTTCTTGAGTCTGGCGTCCGTCTCGATGATCTTGGAACGTTCGATCTCCGCGATGATTAGGGCAGGGCTGGAGTGTTGGGTTTCCTCCTGGTCTTTCTCCTCGTCGCTCGTGCTGGGCTCGTCTTCATCGTCCTTCCGCCTTCTCTTGTTGGTCGGGGCCTCCATTGGGTTGCTTGTTGTGCAGTTGGTGCGTGGGCGAGTGTGGTAGTGGGGTGGTGTGGGAGGTTGTGGGTTCTTATTTAAGGGGGGCCGGGTTGTGGTGATTGGCGGTCGGGCTACGTTGTGGCGGAGCGACCCGGTATAGGCCACGGGGTTTGTGAGCGGGGTGTGTGTACTGGGGAGCACGTGTTTTGTGGTTGGGGGTGTAGCGGTGTGTGGGGTGGGCGTTGAGGGGGTTTTGGGGTGTGTTTGTGGGGTCGGTGTTGTTGTTTCGGGTTGCGCGTGGTGTGCGTGGCGGTGTTGTGAGGCATCGGTGTGTTTTGTTATTGGTTTTGGTGGTGGTTTGGTGTTTAGGCTCAATCCGATTGGGTGGGATTCGGTTGCAATGCGAGTGGGGTGTTTTTTCGATGTGATAATGTAGATGGTTTTGATTGTTTTATTAAATCTATGGGGGGGTGTACTATAGTCGTGTTGTTCGGGGGTCGGTGTATTGTATCGGTCGGGTTTGGAGATTGAGGGCGTTCGAGATGTTGCGCGATTAATGAAACTGTTCTTCAATTGCACGACTGACGTGGTCGCAACTAGTTTTGGCTTAACGAGCGGCCTAGTACGCTCGGGCATGGCAACGTCCATGCCTACGTTGTTCGCGAATGTGAGCCTCTCTTGCGTCCTCCTCCTTGCCTCCATCTTTTTTTTCTCCCGCCGAGCTCCAAGAGCTGCCTCTTGCCTGATGCCTATTGAAATAGAAAAGAAATGCCTATTTCTTGGCCACAGCCCTGGTTGCAGGTGGTTTGGTACCTGTGCTGGCCAGCCTGCGCCCGCTCGACACCACCACCGCCACCATGAGGCCACCGCGACCAAGGTGTCGATGTGCACGTGCGGCGCGAGGACCTGGCGCAATGGCAACCAACGCCGGAGGCCGTGGTGGCCGAGATCAAGACCATGGCTCTTTGTGTGGCCACCAACGCCAACGCCACCACAGAGCTGGGGTACCTGGTGGCCAACCTGCCCGGCGGCACCGAGATGGGCTGCGACCCGTCAAGTGGCCCCAGCACTGCCAGAGCTCGGCGCGCCTGGTGACGGAGATGGCCGTGTGTGCGCTGACCGACTTCTTCGTGGGCTCGCCGTTCTCGACCTTCACCGGCGTGATCGCCGCGCAGCGCGAGCGGGTGCAGCGGAAGGACCCGGCCCACCGCCCTCAGGCCGGACTGTGCCCGCGACCCACTTTCTCGCCTTGACCCTCTACCATGATAAGTACATATGAATGTGTGCATTCCAGCAACACCGCCCTGCTCAATGGTGGTGATTCAAACATTGCAGGGTGACCCTGTCATCACCGGATTGCCTGGCCCCGCTCTCCATGGCCGCCGCCATGCTGGGGGAGCCAGTACTTGTGATAGATGTGCACCACCTGCTCCTGGGTCCTCGCAATCGACCCTGGCCTGCGGGCGCAGATGCAACTGTCAACGAACTTGACAACACTCACATCAGAGCCGCCAGGGTGCTGCGCACCGTTTCTCTCGGACCAGGTCGATGGCCTGCTGCGGCTGCAGGCCCTCTTCGCCGACGAGGTAGCACGCGAGGATGGTGCCCGTACGCCCATAGCCCTGCGTATGACGCAGCCAGGGAGAGCACCACCAGTTCCATTTGAAGCCGACGTCTACGGTCAGGAAGGAGGAGGGTGGGAAGGTCGCACCTTGTGGCAGTGGGCCACGACGCCGTAGCCCGACTTGATGGTCGCTCGCTTCCTTCATGAACGCCACGATCTGTTCCTCGGTGGGCGCCTCGTAGTCTGCGTTGGTTA